AATTACGGACTCCTCTTTGAATCTGCGTATTCCTCCAGGGCTTAGCTGTCCTGGATCTGCACAGCTCTGCGAGGGCCTGGGATCGGGAGAGACACTTAAGTGTTTTAGTACTATATCTCTTGACACAATGATGAAAATAATCATGGCCTCTAAACCTTCAAGCTGCATACTGGATCCTATTCCTACTAAACTGCTGAAGGAGCTGCTTCCTGTGCTTGGCCCTCCTATGTTGAACATAATAAACAGCTCTCTATCCACCGGATGTGTACCAAACTCACTAAAAGTGGCAGTGATAAAGCCTCTCTTGAAAAAGCCAAACCTTGACCCGGAAAATATAAAAAACTAATCGGCCTATATCGAATCTTCCATTCCTCTCAAAAATTTTAGAAAAAGCTGTTGCGCAGCAACTCACTGCCTTTCTGAAGACAAACAATGTATACGAAATGCTTCAGTCTGGTTTTAGACCCCATCATAGCACTGAGACTGCACTTGTGAAGGTGGTAAATGACCTTTTAATGGCGTCAGACCGAGGCTCTGCATCTGTCCTCGTGCTACTAGACCTTAGTGCTGCCTTTGACACCATCGATCACCACATTCTTTTGGAGAGACTGGAAACCCAAATTGGTCTACACGGACAAGTTCTGGCCTGGTTTAGATCTTACCTGTCGGAAAGATATCAGTTTGTCTCTGTGAATGGTCTGTCCTCCGACAAATCAACTGTACATTTCGGTGTTCCTCAAGGTTCCGTTTTAGGACCACTATTGTTTTCACTATATATTTTACCTCTTGGGGATGTTATTCGAAAACATAATGTTAACTTTCACTGCTATGCGGATGACACACAGCTGTACATTTCAATGAAACATGGTGAAGCCCCAAAATTGCCCTCGCTAGAAGCCTGTGTTTCAGACATAAGGAAGTGGATGGCTGAAAACTTTTTACTTTTAAACTCGGACAAAACAGAGATGCTTGTTCTAGGTCCCAAGAAACAAAGAGATCTTCTGTTAAATCTGACAATTCATCTTGATGGTTGTAAAGTCGTCTCAAATAAAACTGTGAAGGACCTCGGCGTTACTCTTGACCCTGATCTCTCTTTTGACGAACATATCAAGACTGTTTCAAGGACAGCTTTTTTCCATCTACGTAACATTGCAAAAATCAGAAATTTTCTGTCCAAAAATGATGCAGAAAAATTAATCCATGCATTTGTTACTTCTAGGTTAGACTACTGCAATGCTCTATTTTCCGGCTACCCGGATAAAGCACTAAATAAACTTCAGTTAGTGCTAAATACGGCTGCTAGAATCCTGACTAGAACCAAGAAATTTGATCATATTACTCCAGTGCTAGCTTCCCTACACTGGCTTCCTGTTAAGGCAAGGGCTGATTTCAAGGTTTTACTGTTAACCTATAAAGCGTTACATGGGCTTGCTCCTACCTATCTTTCCGAGTTGGTCCTGCCGTATATACCAATACGTACGCTACGGTCACAAGACGCAGGCCTCCTAATTGTCCCTAGAATTTCTAAGCAAACAGCGGGAGGCAGGGCTTTCTCCTATAGATCTCCATTTTTATGGAACAGTCTGCCTACCCATGTGAGAGACGCAGACTCGGTCTCAACCTTTAAGTCTTTACTGAAGACTTATCTCTTCAGTAGGTCATATGATTGAGTGTAGTCTGGCCCAGGAGTGTGAAGGTGAACGGAAAGGCTCTGGAGCAACGAACAGCCCTTGCTGTCTCTGCCAGGCCGGTTCCCCTCTCCACTGGGGTTCTCTGCCTCTAACCCTGTTGCAGGGGCTGAGTCACTGGCTTGCTGGTGCTCTTTCATGCCGTCCCTGGGAGGGGTGCGTCACTTGAGTGGGTTGAGTTACTGACGTGATCTTCCTGTCTGGGTTGGCGCCCCCCCTTGGTTTGTGCTGTGGTGGAGACCTCTGTGGGCTATACTCGGCCTTGTCTCAGGATTGTAAGTTGGTGGTTGAGGATATCCCTCTAGTGGTGCGGGGGCTGTGCTTTGGCAGAGTGGGTGGGGTTATATCCTTCCTGTTTGGCCCTGTCCGGGGGTTTCTTCGGATGGGGCCACAGTGTCTCCGGACCGCTCCTGTCTCAGCCTCCAGTATTTATGCTGCAGTAGTTTATGTGTCGGGGTGCTGGGGTTAGTTGGTTATACCTGGAGTACTTCTCCTGTCTTATCCAGTGTCCTGTGTGAATTTAAGTATGCTCTCTATAATTCTCTCGTTCTCTCTTTCTCTCTGAGAACCTGAGCCCTAGGACCATACGTCAGGACTACCGGGCATGATGACACCTTGCTGTCCCCAGTCCGCCTGGCCTTGCTGCTATTCCAGTTTCAACTGTTCTGCCTGCGGTTACGAAACCCCTACCTGTCCCAGACCTGCTGTTTTCAACTCTTAATGATCGGCTATGAAAAGCCAACTGAGATTTATTCCTGATTATTATTTGACCATGCTTGTCACTTATGAACATTTTTGAACATCTTGGCATGGTTCTGTTATAATCTTCACCCGGCACAGCCAGAAGAGGACTGGCCACCCCTCATAGCCTGGTTCCTCTCTAGGTTTCTTCCTAGGTTTTCGCCTTTCTAGGGAGTTTTTCCTAGCCACCGTGCTTCTACACCTGCATTACTAGCTGTTTGGGGTTTTAGGCTGGGTTTCTGTACAGAACTTCGAGATATTAGCTGATGTAAGAAGGGCTATATAAAATAAAATTGATTGATTGATTGATTGAGATTGCATGGCTATGTGCTCGATTTTATACACCTGTCAGCAACGGGTGTGGCTGAAATAGCCGAATCCACTAATTTGAAGGGGTGTCCACAAACATTTGGCCATGTAGTGTACTTTTCATCAGACCCGTGTCTAATACACATATCAAATACAGAGCACTCTTTCTCTATCCCTCCCAAGCCACACTAAGGAAAAAGACAGGTGGTAAGTTACGTAGGCATGTTTCACACAAAGTCCAGTATGTTGGATGGATGACTTGAGCACTAACCCACAAATCATTGACTTGTGTCTTGGTTTTATTGACTGTATTAACAATATTTTGTTATTATATTTACAAAGTGTTTTTGTATAATTTACAAATGTGTTTTCCCCCTGAGAAAGATACCTACTCAGTATGTCATTCATTGTCTGGTAACATTTGCATGATAAAGTCGGTACAACAAGCAGGGTTTGGTGTCAGTTCCATTAAAATTCCGGTCAATAGACCCAGTCGGTATTAGCTAGAACGTTGTGATACTGCCCGCCTGTGAGGAAAACAACCTGTGGATACCTAGGTTACTCCATTGGCTCACAGCAAAAAAATGACATTTTTCTTGTTGTCTGCTTGTTTTAGTCAATTACAAAACTACATTTAAGAAAAGTACAACATGTCTAAAGATTACTTTTCAACATTGCCTGCTCTCTAGCGTTCTCACTACTTAGAAAAACGTCCCTCATGCACCTTTTCATTACGATGCTAGCAGCCACTTGAGTGAGTTAGTGCAAGCTAGCTACCAAACGGAACATTAAGCTAGCCAAGACCAACAACACAAACAAACGGACTATACAGCTACAAGTAGTGGGTGGAGTTACATACAGACTGTACTAAACAAGTTAAATGTCTTACCTGTGATTCAATGTTTTCCGCACACATAGCTACGTGTGGCCTACTTGGACACCGCGTCTCCACATTTCCCACTCTCTATTTCCCAAGTGGGAGCATTGCGAAACCGCAGGTCGGGATTTTTGACCTGGCTACATGTACTGTACATTGAACAACACAGCAGCTTTTCAGCATGTTTTGTTATTTCTGTATAACAAAAAATCAACATCGAAGTTGCCTCTTTTACAATGGGGGTCAATAGGAAAGAATGTTGGTTTACCCCAATTTGTGGCCGTGGTCGAGGGGAATTTCTGATTATTACGTGAATACCGACTGACTATTCAGAAAGTAAACGAAATTCCAATTCGGAATATCAGTGCACTTCCCGAATTGACTGGAAATTAAATGGACTTGACCCCAACCCTGACAACAAGTACTGTAACTTACAGTAGTAAATTGATTTGTCATTGAATGGAGTTGTTTGCACCAATGAGAATGCATTATTTTATTCCAGTCTAATCTCTGTGCATATTGAATGGGCATCACAGACTCAATAACGTGATAACATGGTATTGTATTTCAAACATTGCTTATGTTTGAAATATGCATAGTCACATAGGTGAAACTTTGAACTTTGGTTTATTCAGGTAACTCAAGAACTATTAAAGGGATAGTTCACCCCAAAATCAAAGTTTGTCAGAGGTTTTCACATCTCAAACCTGGTCTGTAAAAACATGAGTTCATGCCATCTGTTTTGTTGATCCTGAATAAATCTGCAGTCTTCAATCCCATATGAATGGACAGATTGACAACATATAGGCAATAATGTTATATAGCAGGATCTAGACGGCATAACAGATTGCATGGGGTATGGATGAATTTAGAGTGGTTTCATTAACTGAAGTGGCATCGGAAACAGAATCTATACACATCCTGCCTCAGAACATGGGCAGATAGAAGAAGAATATGTTTGTATGATTCTGTGTGTGTGTGTGTGTGTTTGTGCGCATTTCTCTGTGTGTGCGTGTGTGTGTGTGTTAGAGGTTGTTACTAATATAAGTCCTGGTTAAGGCTGAATCCACTCTTTTCCCTCTGTGTGTAGATGGTCAGAAGAAGAGGATATGTTTTCAAGTCACTCTAAGTACAGTAACATCCCCAAATGCATGGAGGCTTTCCAAAAACGAATACAACTAAATATTACATAATATAAGCTTAAAGGCTTGCACGGCTTCCAAGGCTGGCCTCTTCCCAAAATTACATGTTTTTAAATTTAATTTTATTGTGTTCCTTTTTTCTCAGTTTCAGCCTCAGTATAGTTTAGAAATTGAGGAAGGGGTCATGAAAATGACTGGCTTGCGAACGCATTTTACCCATTACATTTTTAGGCTTAATGAAGTCCCGCCCTATTTACCCTGTCACTCATAGGGGGTGGGGTTTGTCTTGCAGATAAAGTGGACGAGGTGTCACCTTCCCAGAAGGCCGTGGACAATAAGGTGGCCACCATTAAGCCACGCCCCTCCAGCCGCTGTTTGGTCACGCCTACTGACATGAATGTGAGTTACTCCACACAGTATAATATATGCCATTTAGCAGACGTTTCTATCTAAAGCAATGTACAGTACGGGATTGGTCAATACTTATTGTTTTGTGGATATGTCAAACTCTAACCCTACCCAACTCTGGTTTACAGTCCATGTACGACCGCCAGGGTGGTGTGGCAGTGGTACCACCCACCGTGCCAGGCAGTCCTAGAGGGGGGGCATTCCTGGGCATACTTGCCAAGGGTGGCACCATGAGGAGACAGAAGTCCATAGGTGTGTGTGTGTGTGTGTGTGTGTGTGTGTGTGTGTGTGTGGGTGGTGTGTCTAGTGTATGGCTCCACTTTACCATGATTACCGTTTCCAGAGAGTTCACTTCAGAGAGTAACTGGCTTCATTAAGTGTGATAATGGAGAAATTAGAGTGATCCACTTGCCAAATTGTGCTCTGAGGCGACAATATTATAACCCATTACCCATACGCTGCAACCACAGTCTATGATGAAGCAATAGTATTTAATAGAAACTAATTCTATTCATGGTCCATCCAATTCATCACGCCACTCAGAGCCGATAGTAGCCCAAAGGCAGGTCTGTGTGTTATGACTGCACTAGCTTCAGTAGCTAGTAACTTCAGTATATGCAGTAGCTTGAGCATACTTTGTAATATCTGGAACATAGAAGGCAATCCTCACACCTGACCCATAGACAACTTCCTAAAACTGATTACAGAATAAAAAAAGTTAAGTGAACTATCCCCAAAATGTATCTCGATAAGAAAGGTGAAATGGAATAGAATCACACATGTAAAATTGACAGATATCTCTTTCTCTCTCTGTCCATCTCTCATTCTCTCTCTTTATTTCTCTCTCTCTCAGGTATAACAGAAGAGGAGAAGACCCTCCTCACCCCTCCCCCGCTCAAGTTCACCCGCAGCCTCTCCATGCCAGACACGTCCGAGGACATCCCCCCTCCCCCGGCCATCTCCCCCCCGTCGCCCCCCTCCTCCTACAACTCTTCCTCCATCTCCCCCACGCCACGGGGCTACGGCACCACCCGACCGGGCCTCACCCTCAACTCCGCTGGAAAATGTTCCAACGCCACTACCCTAGGCAACCGCACGGTAGATGTAGGGACGCTAAGGCGAGGTTATCACCGCCAGAGCTCAGAACAGTACGATAGTAGAAGCCGAGGACGGGCGCCCGTGCCCGAGAACCCGTACTCGGAGGTGGGCAACAAGGCGCTGTACGTGCCCGCCAAGCCAGCGAGGAGGAAGGGCATGCTGGTCAAGCAGCCCAATGTGGAGGACAGCCCAGAGAAGACCTGCTGTGCCCCGCACTCAGGTGCCGTTTCCATGCCGACCACACCCACTGAGAGGACCGTCTCGTCCATTCCCATCCCCACCATCATCGTCAAGGAGCCGTCCACCAGTAGCAGTGGAAAGAGCAGCCAGGGCAGCAGTATGGAGATCGAGCCCACCACACCCGAACACCCAACATTAACGCCTGGGGCAGGGGGCAGGGGGCTGAGGCCTGAAGACCCCATTGTCAACAACCCCTTTGCGGCTGCCATCGCAGGGGCAGTGAGGGACCGGGAGAAGAGGCTGGAGGCGCGGAGGAACTCGCCCAGCTTCCTCTCCACCGACATGGGGGATGAGGACTTGGGAGACCCTGCCCCGCGCCTACGCCAGTCCAAGTCCATCGACGAGGGGATGTTCAGCAACGACGAGCACCTGCAGAGGATAATGGCGCCCCCGCCGGCCGCCACCCTGCTGCGGTCCCAAGAAGAGGGTGACCGTGGGGGTAACGTGACAGACTTCAACACCCCTGAGCCCGCCCAGGTGGTGAGGGAGCCCCTGACCGCGCGTACCGGCCAGTACCCCAACCTGGACAGCCCCGTCAGTCTCCCGGCCACCTACAGCTCCAACGGAGGAGGGGGCTACCTGCACCCCGTCACGGGTAAGGCCCTGGACCCTAACTCGCCCCTCGCCCTGGCGCTGGCGGCCCGGGACAGAGCCATGAAGGAGCAGACGCAAACGACCATGGCGACGCAAGCCCCACCCCCTTCTCAACCTCATCCACGTCCCAAGAGCGATGCCCCCCAGTCCCTTCCCCCCAACCCCCAACAAACATGGCCTCAATCAACCCCTCTTCATCGATACCAAGCTCCGCTCCAGCATTGAGGCGGGCTTCGCCACCTCCACGACAACCCTGGGGCGAGGCAGAGGGGGGGGTCTTAGGAGGCAGATGACGGAGCAGAATTACGAGTTGGACGGAGCGAGGGAGGAGAGGCAGCAGGCGGTGGAGGATGGGAAGAGCATACAGATTGACGTTGTGGACACGTCACAACCGCAGAAAGCGGCCGGGCTGCTGATGGTGCACACCAAAAACAGCCCAGAGGGGGACGACAGGGGGCAGGAGAACACACCAGCCCAGGACAACAGCATCCCCAGCGAACTGAGAGACCCCAACCAGCCAAACCCCTCCACCAACAGCCACAGTACCAAACCCCTGCCCCCCGTGCCGCGGGGGAAGAGCATCACAGCTGGGGAATCGGTGGACGAGCCAGTCAAGCTGCCCTTCCGCATGCCCCCTCCCCCACTGGCCTCGGTGGACATCGAGGAGGTGGAGGAGTTTGTCTTCTCCGAGCCCCTGCCGCCGCCGCTGGAGTTCGCCAACAGCATCGACATCCCTGAGGACCAGGCAACGACCATCGCTGAGTTGCTCAAGCAACGGGACCAAGAGAGACGCAACGGGATGGGGGCCAGGGGACCACATCCACCTTCCTACTACACCCACGCCCCGCCCCCTGTCGGCCAGTTCAGACGGGGGAGCGGGATGTCCAACTGCGTGCCCCCACCCTCCTACCCCCCTCCGCCCCCCGATGGTGGCTTTGAGCAAGGTGTCACTGACTCAGGCATCGAGGAGGTAGACAGTCGCAGCAGTGGAGACCCCCATATGGAGACTACCAGCACCGTTTCCACAGTTTCCAGCATCTCTATACTGTCGTCGGAGGGTGGGTACAACAACGCCCAGGAGAACACTTCTATGGTCTATACTGACGGCCAGGCTTACCTTGACGACCGACCACCCGTTCCCCCCAAGCCAAAAAACAAGCCCGTCATCAACAAGAACACTGCACTTTACCACGACGTCCTCATGGAGGAATCCCTGGACTCCTTCGGGGCGCCCCCTCCCCCTCCACCCGGGTCCATGTCCCCCCCGGACCTCCCCTGGACCCCCACCCATCGGTCGTCCAAGCTGTGGGGCGAACCCCCGGAGCTAAGGAGCCCACCCACGCCCGACCCCAAGGCCACGGTTATCAACGAGCTGAGCTCCATCTTATCACAGATGCACCGGCCCAAACCGGGGGACTCCCTGGACTCACCCACCACAGGGGCCAGGGGCGGCTTTGGAACCAGGTAACACATAAATCTACATTACCTTTGACCTTTAGCACTTACGCTGACACCTCTAACCTTTGACCTTTAAACAAACCCCTACCCTCCATCTCCAAAGAGCCAAACTGTGGGCATTAAGAATGTTAGAATGTCTATATTTTCTATTTTTATATATCCATTTACTGATCAAATATTCCCTCTAAAACCGCAACCAACCAATAGTCATTTGGGAACATGCCATAGGTCATGCGTGCATTGTGTATGTTATGTTGGACCTCCATTAAGGGGCATTAGCCAAGTTGTCATATGGGCAGAAAGACTCTGAGATGTCAATGGTCTTATTGAGGAGGGAGCATAAACATGCTGTGCCAGCTGGAGCTCTGGCCATTGCCAATACGGTTGATGCCGTAGTTGATGTAATGGTGGTAGTAGGCTTAGTAGTGCTAAATACTAGGCCTTCCACAGCAGAATCAGCCAAGGGTCATGCCGTGGTGTGGAATGCTGCTGAGTTTTACATTATCTTGGATGTTCTATGTCCTGTTTTGTCAATTTGAGAGGGGAAGGTGTTTAGTAGACATCACAACAAGGTGATGAGACTGTGTGTGGGTTGTGGTCAATTCTAATTGAAAGCAGTCAATTCGAAAGTGATTTGAATTTAAAATAAAAAATGGAAAAACTTTAAATAAATAGCTTCTCATTTTCATTTTATTGAGAAGTCATTGAAAATAGATGTCATTTTTTCAATGAATTAATAAATTCAGTTTGCTTCCTGAATTGACAGCCTTCATTTCGAATTGACCCCAACCCTGGTGTGTGTGTGTGTGTGTGTGTGTGTGTGTGTGTGTGTGTGTGTGTGTGTGTGCATTCTTTCAGGTAGCTCATGCTTTTTAAAACTGTCCTCCCTCTTTCATAATGAAGAATAAAAAAATATGTTAAATTATTCACGAGTCACATGCATTTTGTATGAAATGGACCATCCTTCATCGCTCAGGTGTAAAGGGGAGGAAAAAGAGAAATATATATGTCCTCCTCCTTTCTCTTTATCTCTGTCTCCTCTTCCCCCTGTCTGTATCTCATTAAGATGAGGATGGGAGGGGGTGTTAGTATTTAAGTAAGAGGGGTTGGCTCTTTGCTCTATTTCTAAGAGGAGGTTAGAGGTGGGTTTCTGCTCTACTTGTGTTGACAAGAAATGGTTGCCTGACGACTTAAAATGAATTCTTCCACTACTCTATGTTTGCTACATAATTCAGTCTGAGACTGCCATCATTGAAGCAAATGGTGACGTCAAAATGAGGGGTGTTGTACAAAACAAAGTCATCAACGATTGGATCGGCATCCAGAGGTTTAAGAGTAGAGGCAGCTGCACCTTGTTGAATAGTATCACCATAATCAAGAACAGGTAGAAAGGTTGACTGCACAATCTGCTTCCTGCTGACTAGAGAGAGACAATATATTTTTCTGTTGCCTCTGAGAATTCCATTAAAATACATTTCAATTCAAGAAGCTTTATTTATTTATTGGCATGTGATAGGTTTTTATTATGACAGATAAGACAAGAGGGTGCCCTGTAGCGTTGAGGTCTTTCTGGGAGCTGTTAGGTCTAATAGATTAAAGAGTCCTCAGTGTTTGACTATGGAATGTGTTAGAGAATGTGTTTTTGTCACCAAAGCCCCATATACTACCCACCACTGTGATCTGTACGCTCTTGTTGGCTGGTCCTCACTACATATTAGTCGCCAAACCCACTGGCTCCAGGCCATCTATAAATCACTGCTAGGCAAATCCCCGCCTTATCTTAGCTCATTGGTCACCATAGCAGCACCCACCCATGGTATGTGCTCCAGCAGGTATATCTCACTGGTCATCCCCAAAGCCAACACCTCCTTTGGCCGCCTTTCCTTCCAGTTCTCTGCTGCCAATGACTGGAACGAACTGCAAAAATGTCTGAAGCTGGAGACTCTTATCTCCCTCACTAACTTTAAGCATCAGTTGTCAGAGCACCTTACCGATCACTGCACCTGTACACAGCCCTTCTGAAATTAGCCCACTCAACTACCTCATCCCCATATTGTTATTTATTTTGCTCATTTGCACCCCAGTATCTCTATTTGCACATCATCTCTTGCACATCTATCATTCCAGTGTTAATACTAATTGTAATTATTTTGCACTATGGCCTATTTATTGCCTTACCTCCATAACTTGCTACATTTGCACACACTGTATATATATTTTCTGTTGTATTTTTGACTTTATGTTTTGTTTTACCCCATATGTAACTCTGTGTTGTTGTTTTTATCGCACTGCTTTGCTTTATCTTGGCCAGGTCGCAGTTGTAAATGAGAACTTGTTCTCAACTGGCTTACCTGGTTAAATAAAGGTTAAATAAAGGTGAAATAAATAAAGAGCCAGAAGGGAGAGAGTGGCCTATATAGCTACCTGGTTGAAAAAACACTCCCCCAGCCTAGTGCAGTTACTTCTCCAGTGTTTTAATTTTAAATTCAAGTTTTATTTTTAGGGGGTAGATCAGCTTTAATATTGCAGACAGACTGTGGCTTCTATCAATGTAATTGTCTGCATCATTTCCAATCCCCCATATATATTGTTTTGTATATATACAGTACCAGTCAAAAGTTTGAACACACCTACTCATTCCAGGGTTTTTCTTTATTTTTTACTATTTTCTACATTGTAGAATAATAGTGAACACATTTTTATTCATCACCATTTTCTTTAACCAATTTTGGTGTTTAATGCAGGGCCGACAGACAAGTTCCTTACCTTTTCCCCCTTCCACTTGCCTCCTCCTTTTTTGCGGTAATGCTGCAATCAGTTGGTTGTAATTTTGGATAGAGCAGACATTTCCATATATTTTTGCTAACTGCATGTGTGACATAACTCCACCAGTCCTATTTATGATATAATTTACAAAGACTATACAGTTGTCTTTTTTCATTCAAAAATGATTTTTTATAATTTAGTCTATTTGAGTTTAACCATAATATTTGTTGTAATATTTGTTCTGTCTTTTCTGGTGGATTAAAGGGAAATTGCAACCAGCTTTCTATGGCTTGTTTTAAAAATAGCAATATTTTGGAGATGATTTCATTTTCAAATAACCGAAAGTGAGAGGTTGTAATCTGAATAAAGGGAAAAAGGGCGATTCTTAAACACGGGGTAAGCCGTTCTTACTAATCTGCTAGAGAACCAGTTCGGATTTAAATATAGCTTTTGTATGACTGAAGCCTTTAGTGAGAGGTACAATGCTTTCATATTTAATCATTTCTGCTCTCCGAGTTCATATTCATTATATAAATAGGCCTGTTTAGTTTTGTCTGGCTTGCTGTTCCAAATAAAGTGGAATATATTTTGCTCATATAATTTAAAAACAAGTCATTAGGTGTAGGCAGGGCCATAAGTACTGGGATATGACTAAAGAGTTAATCAGGGTGATGTTTCCACAAATAGACAGGTATTGTCCTTTCCATGGTAGCAAGATCTTATCTATTTTTGCAAACTTTCTATTAAAATGTATTGTAGTGAGATTATTTATTTATTTCAGGATATTAATATTGTCCAGTGTTTGCAGATCTGTTTGTGGACTAGGTATGAGTAAATGATATGGTGATGGTTTACACTACACCTATCCTTCCAATGCACTGACCAGAGCTTCCTTCCGCTATATTGCTTACAGCTTTCTGGTTCCCCACAGATCTGCAAACACAGAAGAGATAGGGGCTAAGGAAAGGTTGGAGGTCAGGGAAGAGTTAGGTGTTTGGGACTGGCATATTCTGTCCATTTCAAGCTGATTGATTAGAATAAGTTGGACCAATGATATTGACTGAGTCAGAGTCCACATGATTGGATAGAGGCGACAACGTGCCGTTTCACTGAGTAAAAAAAAATAAATAACTTGTTATTGAAAACCGATATACTACATATTGTAGGTTAAAGGGAAAGGTGGCACTGTACTGCATAGTACAGCCTGAGGGAAGGAGAGAGATCATATAGAACAGTTGAAGTGAGGAAGCGTGTGAGGGAGCAGGTAGCAGAAGGGGCAAGGTGCCCTGTATCTGAGCACATGGAGCAGATGGATATGAAAGAGAGGGTGGCCTATATTATCTCTATCTCTCTCTCTCTCTCTCTCTCTCTCTCTCTCTCTCTCTCTCTCTCTCTCTCTCTCTCTCTCTCTCTCTCTCTCTGTCTCGCTCTCTCTCTCTCTCTTTCTCTCTCTCTGTCTCTCTCTCTCTCTCTTTCTCTCTCTCTGTCTCTCTCTCGGGCCTTCCATCTCTCTTTATGTCTCTGTATCTCTCTCTCTCTGTCTGTTTCTTTTTGTCTCAGTTTCTCTCCCCCTTCTCTCTCTCTCTCTCTCTCTCTCCCCCTCTCTCTCTCTGACTTCGACAGGGTCATAAGAAACAGTCTCTCTCCGTCTTAAGCGTTCAGCACAGCAGAACCAGCCTAGATTTGCACTTCCTCCTTTTTAGCATTCGTACATTTTTTTACCTTTCAATTTTATCCCCGTCTTTTAGGTTCACAGATTAGTGCGCCAGCGAATGAAAGGGGTTGCCTAGCAACGAGTTGATGAGAGCAGCCTTGAGGCCCGCTGGAGTGATGTCAGTCCGATTATAGTGTCGGGGGGGGAGGGTCTTGGGGGCTAACTCTCAGTAGGGTTCAGCGTCATCACAGTGTGCACATTCACATCACGTGTAACCTCCTTTACTAGGCCACGGTTACATAACATATCGGAGTGTTTGTGAGACTAAGTGTGTGATTCTGTGTGTGAGTGCATGCAGGCGTGCATGTGTGAGGGTGTATGGTGAGATGGAGAAAGAGTATCTTGACTGTTTTTGTGTGTGCATTCGTATGTGTATGCATGTGTACAGTACAGTATATCTATAATGGTTAAATTCACTGCACTATGGCCTCCCAAGTGGCACAGCTGTCTAAGGCACTGCAGATCCGGGTTCGATCCCAGGCTGTGTCGCAGCCGGCCGCGACTGGGAGACCCATGAGCCGGCTGGGATGTCCTTGTCCCATCGCGCTCTAGCGACTCCTTGTGGCAGCCGAGCGCATGCACGCTGACTTCGGTCGCCAGCTGTACAGTGTTTCCTCCGACACATTATTATGCTGGCTTCCGGGTTAAGCGAGCAGTGGGTCAAGAAGCAGTGCGGCTTGGTGGAGTCGTGTTTCGGAGTACGCATGGCTCTCGACCTTCGCCTCTCCCGAGTCCGTACGAGAGTTGCAGCGATGGGACAAGACTGTAACTACCAATTGGATATCACGAAATTGGGGACAAAAAGGGGTACAAAGTACAAACTAGAAATGTTTATATCATTTCACTGCACTAATAAGTTCAAGCATTCAGTACTAACTCTGTAGAAAATGGCTCAGATGATGCTGTGTATGCTCTCTAATGACACAGTCAAAGCAGAGCCATTTATACACAGTAAAACCATTCAGCTTCTGGGCTGTTATATGGAAGGTTGGAGTGATAGCTTGGTCACTAAACTCGATAAGCAAGCAAGCAAGTCAGAAAATATCATTTCTGGTATCATTGCTGGATAATGTTTGGTGTGTGTGCGCGATGAGCGCACACATGCATATGTGTGTGGTGTGTCTGCATGTGTGTGTGCGTGCCCGTGTGTGTGGTCAAGGGTGTGTTTTGCTCTGTCACAGTAGGCTATTGACACCCTCATCCCTCTCCTACCTCGTCAGCCTGATGGTATTGATTGTGATCACAGGTTCAACAGCAAAGTATTGATCTGTTAGAAATGGATCAGTGGGTCAGATAACGAAGCATCAACTTTTATTATGCAAAGCTGCTCAAGTGCATTCATTGGGCATATACAGTACAGGGGCATGCACAGTATATGTGAAATAGACCAGACTATGACTGTTAGAGGAAATTATGACTGTGAAGTGAATTATTTGTTTCCCATCTTCACAAGCAGGGAATCACATTGGCGTGAGTTGTCAGTTTAGAAGGACGTATGTTCGTTCTTCACTGCATTTTGTCACATTTTCTTTCTCACTTTTTTCCCCTTTCTGTGTGTGTGTGTGCGTGCGTGCGTGATTGTGTCTCTCCATGTGTTTTGTTCATGTGTCCTCTGTTTCACTCAATCTCTCACTCCATCCTCCTTACTCCATCACGATGACTTCCTGTGGAAAAGCTGGTGCTGAAAAAACAAGCTGTAAGTTTTACCCATGGTGCTACAGGTCCAGAGGAGGGACTGAGTGCTTTCACATTGGCCCAATTCCATTTGGGCCAAATAACGCCCTTGCCCAATTCACTTCCCCTCCCTAACTTCCCTCAGGGTTATCCATATAGTACGAGGGAAAGAGGGGACAACCAACCCGGTCATCAAGGGCTGCTGTGTCTTCTGGTTTTGTCCATACTTAGGAGTGTAATTACAGTATATTAAATTACTTCTACACATATATTAGTTGATGAATTAGCAGGCATTGCAGCCCTTCAGAGCCCGATCAGTATGGAACCACAGAAGGAAGTTTAGAGGGGGAATTGAATGAGGGTGTTAATCTGAATGGAATGGAGCATAGTTTTGTGTGTTTTTGGGGGAGGTGATGGGTTTGCCCTGTGTGTCCCTGCTCTCACTCCATACGCCTCTTCATCCATCTCCCCATCGATCCATCACTCCATCTGACGCTGCACAAATCTCTGTGGTCCGTGGGGGGCTGATATGTACACTACACACTACACTGTTCGTAAAAATGTTACATTTACATTAGATTGCATACCAGATCTAGGTTCTGTCTTCTCTCCCTCTTGTGTTGAGTCTCAAGCCCACTGCATGTTTGTGCTAGGTATATTTTTTTGTGAGTTGAGGATACTGTGATGCTGAAGCCAGATGGTCAAATGGTATTTTTCTGAAATTAACTGTTGGACATGAAAGTAATAATCACTTCATAATGATTATTCCCAGCTGAGCTGACCTCAAATACTGTATAATCCTCTTCCTCGATATGTTGCATTGTTGTTCTATGAACAGTTCAACTACCAAAAGACTTGTATGAACGCATGCACATAGATGTACTCTCTAAACACGCACACACACACTCAGAGATAGAGTGAATCACATTAGGACATGCTCTGTGGACTTAATGCTGCAAGCTTCCCTCCGGCCTCAGTGCACTCTGAGTTATTTTTTTCTACATGCAATGTATTGTGTGTGTGTGTGTGTGTGTGTGTGTTCGTGTGTGTTCCTGGTTGTCGGCATTCTTCTCGTAAACAGAATTTGTCACTGTTACTGTTACTGTTTTGTTAGACTTCAGTGCGGCTTTTGACATTATCAATCATAGTCTGGTGCTGGAAAAATGTATGTGTTATGCCTTTACACCCCCTGCTATATTGTGGATAAAGAGTTACCTGTCTAACAGAACACAGAGGGTGTTCTTTAATGGAAGCCTCTCCAACATAATCCAGGTAGAATCAGGAATTCCCCAGGGCAACTGTCTAGGCCCCTTACTTTTTTCAATCTTTACTAACGACATGCCACTGGCTTTGAGTAAAGCCAGTGTGTCTATGTATGCGGATGACTCAACACTATACACGCCAGCTACTACAGCGACTGAAATGACTGCAACACTTAACAAAGAGCTGCAGTTAGTTTCAGAATAGGTGGCAAGGAATAAGATAGTCCTAAATATTTCCAAAACTAAAAGCATTGTATTTTGGACAAATCATTCACTAAACCCTAAATCCTAAACCTCAACTCAATCTTATAATGTGGAAATTGAGCAAGTTGAGGTGACTAAACTGTATGGAGCCACCCTGGATTGTAAACTGTCATGGTAAAAACATGATGATACAACAGTAGCTAAGATGGGGAGAAGTCTGTCCATAATAAAGCGCTACTCTGCCTTCTTAACAACACTATCAACAAGGCAGGTCCTACAAGCCCTAGTTTTGTTGGACATGGACTACTGTTCAGTCGTGTGGTCAGGTGCCACAAAGAGGGACTTAGGAAAATTACAATTGGCTCAGAACAGGGCAGCACAGCTGGCCCTTAAATGTACACAGAGAGCTAACATTAATAATACGCAAGTCAATCTCTCATGACTGTGGAGAGAGAGTGGAGGAGAGATTGACTTCATTTTTGTAAGAAGTGTTGACAAGCTAGCACACCAATGCATACCCCACAAGACATGCCACCAGAGGTCTCTTCACAATCCCCAAGTCCAGAACAGACTATGGGAAGCGCACAATACTACATAGAGCCATGAATACATGGAACTCTATTCCACATCAGATAACTGATGCAAGCAGTAGAATCAGATTTAATAAACAGATAAAAATACACCTTATGGAACAGTGTGTACTGTGAAGAGACACACATACACAGGTACAGACACACGCACACGCACACAAACGCTAGCGCATGCACTCTACACTCACGTACAGTACATTGTAATATTGTTGTATGGTGGTATTATACATTTTGTATTGTAGATAGGTAGTGGTGTAATAATGTTGTATGATGTACTGTTTTATCCTTTGTTTTATGTGTGATGTAAGTGCCTTAATGTGTTTGGACCCCAGGAAAAGTAGTTGCTGCCTTGACAGCAGCTAATGCGGATCCCTAATAAATACAAATACTGTATTGTGAACCTTAGAGGGAATGCCAGCTGAAATATGCTATGGTGAAAATCACATGAGATATAGGTTTATTTCAATTTAAATTAATTCCCCAGTCAAATAAGCCACATCCAAATGACAGTGTTTTTTTTTACCAATGATGTATATAAACCCTTGATTGCGGATGCTATGTATTGGCCATTGAGAGGCTTTGAAGCCACCGGTCGGCCATATTGGCACTCCCCAGAAGGAGCTGTCATCCATAGGAATTAAGGGAATTCTACAGTTTTTCAATTAATTGTTTCAAGGACAGAATTACAGTGAGGGGGAAAAAAGTATTTGATCCCCTGCTGATTTTGTACGTTTGCCCACTGACAAAGACATGATCCGTCTATAATTTTAATGGTAGGTTTATTTGAACAGTGAGAGACAGAATAACAACAAATAAATCCAGAAAAAATGCATGTAAAAAATGTAATAAATTGATTTGCATTTTAATGAGGGAAATAAGTATTTGACCCCTCTGCAAAACATGACTTAGTACTTGGTGGCAAAACCCTTGTTGGCAATCGCAGAGGTCAGACGTTTCTTGCAGTTGGCCACCAGGTTTGCACACATCTCAGGAGGGATTTTGTCCCACTCCTCTTTGCAGATCTTCTCCAAGTCATTAAGGTTTCGAGCCTGACGTTTGGCAACTCAAACCTTCAGCTCCCTCCACAGATTTTCTATGGGATTAAGGTCTGGAGACTGGCTAGGCCACTCGAGGACCTTAATGTGCTTCTTCTTGAGCCACTCCTTTGTTGCCTTGGCCTTGTGTTTTGGGTCATTGTCATGCTGGAATACCCATCCACGACCCATTTTCAATGCCCTGGCTGAGGGAAGGAGGTTCTCACCCAAGATTTGACGGTACATGGCCCTGTCCATCGTCCCTTTGATGCGGTGAAGTTGTCCTGTCCCCTTAGCAGAAAAACACCCCCAAAGGATAATGTTTCCACCTCCATGTTTGACGGTGGGATGGTGTTCTTGGGGTCATAGGCAGCATTCCTGCTCCTCCAAACACGGCGAGTTGAGTTGATGCCAAAGAGCTCGATTTTGGTCTCATCTGACCACAACACTTTCACCCAGTTCTCCTCTGAATCATTCAGATGTTAATTGGCAAACTTCAGACAGCCATGTATATGTGCTTTCTTGAGCAGGGGGACCTTGCTGGTGCTGCAGGATTTCAGTCCTTCACAGCGTAGTGTGTTACCAATTGTTTTCTTGGTGACTATGGTCCCAGCTGCCTTGAGATCATTGACAAGATCCTCCTGTGTAGGAGCTGATTCCTCACCGTTCTCGTGATCATTGCAACTCCACGAGGTGAGATCTTGCATGGAGCCCCAGGCTGAGGGAGATTGACAGTTCTTTTGTGTTTCTTCCATTTGCGAATAATCGCACCACCTGTTGTCACCTTCTCACCAAGCTGCTTTGCTATGGTCTTGTAGCCCATTCCAGCCTTGTGTAGGTCTACAATCTTGTCTCTGACATCCTTGGAGAGGTCTTTGGTCTTGGCCATGGTGGAGAGTATGGAATCTGATTGATTGATTGCTTCTGTGGATAGGTGTCTTTTATACAGGTAACAAGCTGATATTAGGAGCACTCCCTTTAAGAGTGTGCTCCTAATCTCAGCTCGTTACCTGTATAAAAGACAACTGAGAGCCAGAAATCTTTCTGATTGAGAGGGGGTCAAATACTTATTTCCCTCATTAAAATGCAAATCAATTTGTAACATTTTTGACATGCATATTTATGGGTTTTTGTTTTGTTATTCTGTGTCTCACTACCATTAAAATTATAGACTGATCATTTCTTTGTCAGTGGGCAAACGTACAAAATCAGCAGGGGATCAAATACTTTTTTCCCTCACTGTACTGGGGACAGTAACATTAGCAATCTCAAAAACTATACTTTAAGGATTTTTTGTAAATATATTTTTTCATTGTTTACTATGTTACTTCTGTTTAGCTCCCATAATATAATTAAAAAGTATGCATTAAGGTGTCTGTAATAGAATAAATGTGTCCAAAACGAATGTAGACATGAATAAATGTATTTGAGGGAGTGCCAAGATGTAGGCACGGTGGCTTCAACACAGCGCCGACTACTGTTGTCTAGTGTACAGTGCATTGGGAAAGTATTCAGACCCATTTACTTTTTCCACATTTTGTTACGTTACAGACGTATTCTAAAATGGATTAAATTAATTTTTTTCCTCATCAATCTACACACAATACCCCATAATGACAGAGCAAAAACAGGTTTTTAGACATTTTTGCAAATGTATTAAAAATAAAAACAGAAATACCTTATTTACATAAGAATTCAGACCCTTTGCTATGAGACTCGAAATTGAGCTCAGTTGCATCCTGTTTCCACTGATCATTACATTTACATTTACATTTTAGTCATTTAGCAGACGCTCTTATCCAGAGCGACATACAGTTAGTGAATACATATATATATATATATATATATATATATATATTTATTTCTTTTTTATACTGGCCCCCCGTGGGAATCGAACCCACAACCCTGGCGTTGCAAACGCCATGCTCTATCAACTGAGCTACATCCCTGCCGGCCATTCCCTCCCCTACCCTGGACGACGCTGGGCCAATTGTGCGCCGCCCATTAGTCTCCCGGTCGCGGCCGGCTGCGACAGAGCCTGGATCATCCTTGAGATGTTTCTACAACTTGATTGAAGTCCGCCTGTGGTAAATTCAATTGATTGCACATGATTTGTAAAGGCACACACCTGTATAAGGTCCCACAGTTGACCGTGCATGTCAGAGCAAAAACCAAGCCATGTGGTCGAAAGAACTGTCCGTAGAGCTCTGAGACAGGATTGTGTCGAGGCTCAGATCTGGGGAAGGGTACCAACATTTCTGCAACATTGAAGGTCCCCAAGAACACAGTGGCCTCCATCATTCTTAAATGGAAGAAGTTTGGAACCATCAAGACTCTTCCAAGAGCTGGCCGCCTGGCCAAACTGAGCAATCGGGGGTGAAGGGCCTTGGTCAGGAAGGTGACCAAGAACCTGATGGTCACTCTGACAGAGCTCCAGAGTTCCTCTGTGGAGATGGGAGAACCTTCCAGAAGGACAACCATCTCTGCAGCACTCCACCAATCAGGCCTTTATGGTAGAGTGGCCAGACGGAAGCCACTCCTCAGTAAAAGGCACATGACAGCCCACTTGGAGTTTCCCAAAAGGCACCTAAAGGACTCTCAGACCATGAGAAACAAGATTCTCTAGTCTGATGAGACCAAGATTGAACTCTTTGGCCTGATTGCCAAGCGTCACATCTGGAGGAAACCTGGCACCATCCCTACGGTGAAGCATTTTGGTGGCAGCATCGTGCTGTGGGGATGTTTTTCAGCGGCAGGGACTGAGAGACTAGTAAGGATCGAGGGAAAGATGAATGGAGCAAAGTACAGAGATCCTTGATGAAAAACTGCTCCAGAGCACTCAGGACCTCAGACTGGGGTGAAGGTTCACCTTCCAACAGGACAACGACCCTAAGCACACAGCCAAGACAACGCAGGAGTGGCTTCGAGACAAGTCTCTGAATATTCTTGAGTGGCCTAGCCAGAGCCCGGACTTGAACCCGATCGAACATCTCTGGAGAGACCTAAAAATAGCTGTGTAGCGACACTCCCCATCCAACCTGACAGAGCTTGAGAGGATCTGCAGAGAAGAATTGGAGAAACTCCCCAAATACAGGTGTGCGAAGTTTGTTGCGTCATACTCAAGAAGACTCGAGGCTGTAAATGCTGCCAAAGGTGCTTCAACAAAGTACTGAGTAAAGGGTCTGAATACTTATGTAAATGTCATATTTCATTTTTTTCATTTTAATACATTTGCAAAAAATATTCTGTTTCTTTAAAAGAATGACCACCGGTCAGGAGGATACAGACAGCTCAAGAGATATGCTTAGATATGCAGAAAAATTAACATATTTTTTACCAAAAATTAAGCATAATGATTATGGCTCTAGATTGCAGGAAAATGCTTTTTCAGGTGTTTGAAAAAGTCTAAATATGGACCACCTACTTGGTACATAGGAGACTGTTAAATACCAGTGAAGTAAAGTAAGGTTTAGGTAAAAATCCACTGACAACACTGCACCCTAGTGGCTCTTTCAGGTATGTCATTATAATTCTGTGCTTAGATTAGTAAAATACTGTATGTTCATGAACTTCGTGTTTATTTTGAAAGCTCTAGGCGATCCCCACTTCCACACCAAGCCTCAGCAGGTTTGCCACACGTCAAGGTCAGCGAACACTACATCCATTTTACACCAGCCAGGTCTGAACACACACACACACACCCACACACAAATGCTGTAGTTGTGGGGTTGTGAGTCACATGTGGAGGGGGAGGAGTCTGCTTCTTGCCGGAGGTTTCTATCTGGCCAAGATTCTCTAGGTTGCCATGGTCCTCTTTGGTTGCCATGTTCTGATCATTATGGTCTGGATTAGTTTGGTACAGCCACTCTATACCATAGTTCATCACTGTGCCGTACAAATGGTAGGTTCTCATGATCTCTCTTTTCTCCCTCTATTTTTTTCTTTCTCTTTCTCTCTCTCTTTCACTCTCTCTCTCTCTCTCTCTCGCTCTCTCCAGCTCTCCAGCCTCAGGAAGCCAGCGGAACTCCAGTGTGTCCTTTGGCCTGCCCCCCTCCTCCTGCACCCCTCCTTCCAGCCTGCCCCCTCACCTCTGCAGCCCCCCGGACACCTCGTCCCTCTCCTCGCCCCCCTGCCCCTCCTCTTTACCCCACTCTGCCTCGCCCAGCCTCAGCGACATCTTCGGTCTGCCCAACCCGCCCATGGGGAGTGCGAGTGGCTTCGGCAGCATGGGCGGTAGCCTTGGTGGAGGGTCCTCGTGCAGTGGCTCGCGCTCCCCCTCGCCGCTCACCCTAATGCAGGCCGTAGCCGCCTCGGGCAAGCCCTTCGCCTCCAAGCCCGTGGAGCTGTGGAGCAAGCTGGACGTGGCCGACTGGCTGGACAGCCTGAATCTGTCGGAGCATAAAGACGCCTTCCTAGACAACGAGATCGAGGGCGCCCACCTGCCCTCGCTGCAGAAAGAGGATCTGATTGACCTGGGGGTGACGCGGGTGGGCCACCGCATGAACATCGAGAGGGCCCTCAAAATGCTGCAGGACAGATAAAGCCATGGGGTGTGGATTTATCTGGAACACTCTCTCTCCTACCTGTTCTCCTTCTCAGTCTGGGACAGTCTGGGACGATTTAGGAATTGGCCTTTGACTCCTCCCTTCCTGCCTCGCCTCTGTGTTTGTGTTTGATCGTTCCCATTCTGCTTCCAGAGTGTCAGGGGATGTTGGAATCCTGGAGGAACTGCTGGGAATAGCCCGGAGAAAGGCGGCGTTCCCGAATCCAGAATGGAGAAAGAGTGGAAGAAATCCTGCATCTTTTTCGGGATGCTCATGTCACAAAAGACCACACTTTGGAATACTCTAGAAACGTAGCCCTCAAACATCCAACCCGGACATTGTTGGAATACTCAAAACTACAACTCCCAGTCGCTTTGGAATACTCAATACTTTTTCAAGCTGCCCCAGTGTGGGTGTTTGAAACCAGCTGAGCTGGTTGGCGCTCCTTTTCTATCTTTGCTAGAGTTTCTTCAGAGAATATTTATTCACTAGAGTAAAAGGGTTATGTTTATGAACGCATCTGACGTTTGAAAAACATTAGAAACGAGAACCTTTGTCGAAATGTTTAGCTGAATCCTAAACCATATCACTCGCTGCAAGCAAATCCACACACACATCCGGCGATGGCCTTCTTCTCCTGAGAGAGAAACATGACGATGTGTTGGTCACTCTAATGCATGGCTGGAGGGGCTCCACTGTAGCAGGCGCCACTGTCCCTTTCACATCCCTGTTCACAGTGGAAGGTGTGTGGATTTGGGTTTTGTCAGAGACATGTTTGTGAGGTGTACAGTCGTGGTCAAAAGGTTTGAGAATGACACAAATACTAATTTTCACAAAGTCTGCTGCCTCAGTTTTTATGATGGCAATTTGCATATACTCCAGAATGTTATGAAGAGTGATCAGATGAATTGCAATTAATTGCAAAGTCCCTCTTTGCCATGAAAATGAACTTAATCCCCCCCAAAACATTTCCACTGCATTTCAGCCGTGCCACAAAAGGACCAGCTGCCATCATGTCAGTGATTCTCTCATTAACACAGGTGAGAGTGTTGACGAGGACAAGGCTGGAGATCTCTCTGTCATGCTGATTGAGTTAGAATAACAGACTGGAAGCTTTAAAAGGAGGGTGAAATCATTGTTCTTCCTCTGTTAACCATGGTTACCTGCAAGGAAACATGTGCTGTCATCATTGCTTTGCACAAAAAGGGCTTCACAGGCAAGGATATTGCTGCTAGTAAGATTGCACCTAAATCAACCATTTATCGGATCATCAAGAACTTCAAGGAGAGAGGTTAAATTGTTGTGAAGAAGGCTTCAGGGCGCCCAAGAAAGTCCAGCAAGCGCCAGGACCGTCTCCTAAAGTTGATTCAGCTGCGGGATCGGGGCACCACCAGTGCAGAGCTTGCTCAGGAATGGCAGCAGGCAGGTGTGAGTGCATCTGCACGCACAGTGAGGCGAATACTTTTGGAGGATGGCCTGGTGTCAAGAAGGTCAGCGAGGAAGGCACTTCTCTCCAGGAAAAACATCAGGGACAGACTGATATTCTGCAAAGGTACAGGGATTGGACTGCTGAGGACTGGGGTAAAGTCATTTTCTCTGATGAATCCCCTTTCCGATTGTTTGGGGCATCCGGAAAAAAGCTTCTCCCCATTGTTCTTCCTCTGTTATTTGTCAATTCTGACAAACTCCAAGCATTGATTATGCAAGAATGGACTGCCACCAGTCAGGATGTGGCCCAGAAGTTAATTGACAGCATGCCAGGGCGGATTGCAGAGGTCTTGAAAAAGAAGGGTCAACACTGCAAATATTGACTCTTTGCATAAACTTAATGTAATTGTCAATAAAAGCCTTTGACACTTATGGAATGCTTGTAATTATACTTCAGTATACCATAGTAACATCTGACAAAAATATCTAAAAACACTGAAGCAGCAAACTTTGTGAAGACCAATATTTGTGTCATTCTCAAAACTTTTGACCACGACTGTATGCACACGCTGTGGGAGGTTTGTTAAAGGTGTTTTAGAAAGATATGAGTGAGAGTGTAAGGCGGAGATTCAATCAGATCAAGCGTTAACCAGTGCTAGCCGACACCCGCATAGCTGATGTTTTGGCGGTGTAGGAGGTGTAACTGTGTTGGAGCTGTCAAATCTGTGATCATTGTCACGAAGCCAGACCCGTCCCTTTCATGTTAGAAGTTCAAAAAGAGAAACTGTATGCTATATAGAAATAATGACGCTCAAATTGAAAATCATTAAACAAAATAATGAGGATTGCATCTCACATTCCAGTGTTCGAACTTGTAAACAAGGCTGCATGGGATTTATCTTAATGCGACTCCGTGCAGCCAATGGTAATGTCCGCTTTAGGTATAATGCCAGGAGCCGCTTGTGGACTTGACAGCTCTAACACAGTTCCACCTCCGACACCGCCAAAACTATGCGGGTGTTGGCTGGCGCGGATCTGATAGAATATGCCCTAAGTGTTGGTGTCATGTGTGTTGTCATCGTCTTCCACACACTTGACAGGAGTGGAATGCCACCCCCCTACTCCCTACCCCCCAACCCACCAATTTCCCTTCAGGCCTATGACAGAAATAATCCACCTATCACAACAACTTGGGGAAACACATTTTCTTCCATAATATTGCCATCTTTCTCCTCTTTGTTCAGCCATCTTTAATAATTTCTAATCACTGAGTGATTCCCTTCACAGATCAAACATTGTTTCTATATTAATACCAGTGTATGCTGTTGTGGTATAGGTGAGGGTTGATTTTTTTGGGGGACATAATGATTCTTGGCGAGTATTTGAAGACGACCATTTTGAAAGGATGAGAGCAAAACGGACATTACTTTGTGATCTGTGTTAGCGTAGGACACTGTGGTTGACCGTGTGCTTGTTTTTAGACAGCTCACCTATACTGTGTAGTGCAGGGGCCTAGAATACTAGGAATAATATTAATTCACTCAAATCTGCTACCCAGACATTCACACAATCACCGAAGAGGATTTAAAAAAGATTTATAGGAAAGTTTACAAAGTTTGTGTATAATCAGTGTTTGCATCGCCCGATGTCATTATTGACAAGAAGAGGTGTTAGTCCTGTACTGGTGTTTCCAGAGGGAAGAAAAGAGGTGTGACAGCAGCACCGACCGAGCAGCTATTAGAGGGGTATGGTTTGATCCAGCTGATAAAGGCTTTAGATTATGCATTTGGTCCCTGTTCATTTGAGAATGAGAGGGAGAGTCCTCCGTAACACTTTACTTAAGCCTGCAGGTATAACCCTTTATAAGGCTTGCTTATAAAAAGTTATAAAGTATTATTACTACAGGCTTCAAGTAAAGTGTTACTGAGTCCTTTTCTCAACACCAGTGATAAGCTCTCACACCAATGAGCAGGTAGAACATGCATATCTTCCAATCAGAGCTCCCATCAATTGTCCCCATCACTTTTCATGAAACACCATTACACCAATGTTACTATGAGAACTGCTGATAGGTCAGTACCCAGGAAGTGTTTGGTGGCAATGATTTTAAGTAAATGGAATATATTTATTGTTTTGAATGTGTATAAAGGAATGGTTTAAAGAAAATAGTATATCTATAGAATAATTATATGTATAATATTTCTAAAAGGTTTAGAGAGAGAATTTCTATGAAAGACTATGACCATTGCATCCACCCTCAGAACTTATTTCCTTGTCACTCTATCCCTGTTTTATCTTTGGATAGCTCATTATCCTCTACATAGTGCCCCATTTCTGGCCTCTCTGCCTCTGACCATGGATTAGAACTACTCCAGAATGCACTGCAAAGAGAAGTGTGGAAGCCATGTATGCTACTGTACCCATATCACTAAAAAGTGAAAAGTATTTTGTGGTCAATCGAGACATTTCCATGATTCTATCAGTTCACAGTGATGTTCTATGAACATAACCATGATTGTTTGGATTGTCTGCAATTTAGGGTCTCCTGTTGGACAAAAAAAAGCTACCTTGGTGAGATTCCTTCCTCTCTCTCCCTGTCCCTGAGTGCAACTGTATGATGATGAAGGGAAGACAAATGGATGATTAAAAAAAGGGAATACCAGGCCGACAGAAAGAGAGGACTTAGAGGAGTTATAATGCTGCTATAATCCATTCATTTTTAAATATAACTTCTTTTAAAAGAAACAACAAAAGAGTGACGTAGAAAAAAGCACAGTATTTTTTATGATTTGTATCGAATTATATGGAATTTTATAAAAGATATTTGGACAAAAATGTTCAACTCTGAAGTGTGGTTTGCCAAAAAGTGAAGAAAGAACAACAACAACAACAACAACAACAACAACTATATTATATATAAATATATATTAATAGAAATTAATATTATCAGATTTATGAGGAAACTAAGAAGCAATATTTATACTGAATGGATCTCCTTGGTTGTGGCTTATCCCAGTTTTAAGATGATCTATCATGATATAGTATCACCTGTTGATGTTATGAACACTGATAGATGGAGTGGACAGAAGACATTTGTCCAATCAAAATATATTTTATATACTATCCTCTGGCCATCACCTGCCTATCTTGAATATTGTAATTTTTGACAATTCCAATCGCTTAGTCTGTGTATAATGTGTGTATAAATGACTGAATCGCTTTAAATTAATACATAACCTCACAGTCCACTGGATCGAAAACTGTCCCGATGAAACTTTAATGCTGAACTTATATAGAAATGTAAAAAGACTAGTTGTGACTGTTGACTTCATGGAACAAAAAAACATATCACTAAGATAATTTATATGTGGAATCTTAGAACTGTGTAGTAGTATTAAGATGCTATACTAATCATCACTGTGTGACTATAAGGCTATGCTACATAAGGACTGGCATGGCTCACTATCCCCCCTACCATCACAACACAGTCCTTCACTTACCCATCGGCAACTACAGTGAGGGAAAAAAGTATTTGATCCCCTGCTGATTTTGTACGTTTGCCCACT